TGAGTTTGTACATATTTAAAATGAGATCATAAATAAATCTATTGAAGAGCTTATGGTTGTATTTATTTACGGTAACCATTTAAGTATTTTTTCTATTTTTATTTAATTTACACATTTTATAGTCGGCGGTACCGACCCCTTTTTATCAAATTATTAACACTAGTCTAAAAGTTGGTTAATGGCTTCATTTTACCGTAATTCTCAATGTTTTTATCAATGAAAATTCTCATAAATGGGGCGTTTTCAATTACGAAAGTGATAAAGTTTGTCAATTTAATGAATTATTAAAAACTTATGAACTCACTTGCTTTCCTCTAGAATCGTAAAACGATTTTTAAAACATCGAGGCTAAAAGCGGTCTACAAAAATAATGTCCTTCACTCTGAACATGTAAAAACGATGAGCCATAGTATTTTTGCAGGACATCTTTTTTTTTCGTTTTTGTGATCAAATTATCATACGATTCAAGTGAAAGGAAAATGGGAATTTATGACGTCAGCAAATGTCAAAATGAATATTATCATTTATTTTTGCCTTCTTATTTGACTGATCACCCCAACTATTCTTCTCTTCATTATTCACGACAGTCAACCATTTACCCACAAAAAAACATTGGGATTGCAGTTCTGAAGATGAGAGTAAATATCCCGAAACGTTAACATGTAAACATGTAATCTATATTTTTATTTTGTTACACATAAAATTATCGTAGGACATTCATTTATATCTATTTAAATTATGATGTAAAGTAGTATTACGATACGTTATTCGCAGAGATCCTGTTATGTTTGGGACAGGGATGAAGCAAGGTACAGAATGTTAATGTATTTTACAAACGCCTCGGCTGAATTAATATAGCCTTGGAAGCTCCTGGCAGACTCAAGGAAGTTTCCAGGCGGCCTCTGAATGATTAAACATGTCGGAGTGGTCTTCGTCAATCGGTCGAGCCTCCAACTGTTCGATAACTGAATGCTTTCTGCCTCCTTCGATAGCTCCCATTGACTGTGACTGTGAATTTTAATTCAAGTTATTTAATTATTGACAATATAGTGTTTTGTTTGTCAATATAGTTGTAGATTGTATACGAAAGCAAATCCGTCATACGCGTCTGTTCATATACAGTGGCTCACAGTCAAAATGACATATGGATATTGACAGAAATTATTGAATGGATAAATAGTTCGATTTATATTACATTGAAAACAATAATTTAATGCATACAATAAACACCCTAGTAATAATGTGTTATTTTCTTATGTTTTTTTTTTTTTTTTTGTTCCTTTGTTATATTATGTTTTATGTTCTTTTCTTATGTTATGTTTCTTGATATGGGAGTATAACTTCTGGTTAGTGATGCCCAAATGCGTGACCGAGACGAGTCTTGGTCTTGCGCAAGAGTCTCGCAACGGTCTTGCAGTTTTCCTATTAGCTTAGTACTATAGAAATATTACTTTTTTTCAGATAAGGGAAACTTAACTAACCCCGAATGAAAAATTAGAAGAGTTGAATGCAAAAGTTTATTGGTTATACCGATTCTTTACATATAGTATCTAAAATTGTAAATCATTAGTAACTAATTTGCCTTAATGTTTATTCAAAAATATATTTTCTTTTACCAGTCCTGGTCTTGGTCTTGCAAAGTGTAAGGTCAAGACCGATTTTGGGCAACACTACTTCTGGTGTACTGGTCTACTTCGTGGTTCAATAATAGAAATATTCACATGGATCAGTGAATAAACATGCCGGAATTCTGGTGCTTAAAAACAAATATAGTCTTGTCTGGAAAATGATTTCAAACATTCTGCCATGTTTGTAAAGGAATTGCTACTGCACAACTGCCTAAAGCCATTACTCCATTACAGTCACCATATCACAATGTGATAGAAAACCTGTTGGCAAAATTAAATACGAAATTTCTAAATTAGAAGACTTATACAATAAAAAAATCTTATCGAAGAATGGAACAGGCTAAGCCCGGAATCGCCAAAAAATGTGTCGACTCCGTTACAGACTGAAAGCAATGGTAGAACTTTCCTACAATAGCCCTGCAGCCAGGGTCCAAAAATCGACCTCATCGCATTCGAAGCTTTAATCTTAAATTACGAAAGCTTATGTTTTTCTGAGCAAAAAAAATACTGTCTGCCGTTCCAAAGCCCCTGCATTAAAAAATGGCGACTGATTCAAAGAATATTAGCCCAGTAGTTTGAGGATCGAAGCGGGAAATCCATTGCGAAAAATGTTGAAAAAGTTTGTATTTTTTTAACTTGGTTGTATATATGGGCTGAACGCATGTAAAAAATAAAATTGCTAATGCGGGCTACCAAGAGAAAACTTTTTACAGCCAAAAACTTCAGATGTTTTCGATGTGTTTTTGTTCTCTCACCTTTAAGTCCTAAACGGTGCATCAAAGCGAAAAATGTACTCTTTATTAAATTAAAGAAGGTTAAATTGTGTGACGAACACGTACATAAACTTTATAATTTGGTTACGTAGTAAGGTATAAACAAACCACGGTCAAAAACTGAGACAAATTACGATAAATGGCCCTGTTACTTCGAGTCAATTTTTGGGCCCTGGCACCATGGCTACAAGGTATTGAACTAAATTAATAGTATTTAACAGTTAATAAGAAATGAGGTTTATCTGAGGTTTATATTATTTTTTTTAAAATTGTTTTAAAATAATCACAGTTAAATATTTTAATTTTGTTGAGTTTGTACATATTTAATTAGATATTATAAATAAATATGTTGAAGAATTTTTGGTTTTATTTGTTTACTGGAACCATTTAAATTTATTTTTCTATGTTTGTTTTATTTACGCATTTTAAAGTCCACGGCACCGACCCCTTTTTATCAAATTATTAACACTTGTCTAAAACTTGGTTAATAATGGTTTCATTTTATCGTAATTCTCAATGTTTTTATCAATGATAATTTTCATAAATGGGGCGTTTTTAATCAGGAAATCGGTAAACTTTGTCAATTTAATTAATCATTTAAAACTCATGAACTCACATTTGATTTCCTCTAGAATCGTAAAACGATTTGATAAAAAAAAATAACGCCCATAAAGAGATAACGCCCAACCTTCACGTTTTTCCCGTTAAATAATTATGGATACCTAAGTGCCATTTCATAAAGGTTGGGTGTACCCCAGATGGGTTGATCCACGGGCGATGAATATATCTGCCAAAAGTCGGACTCAAACCTGGAACCTTGAGCATTGGATCTGTACTCTAACGCTGAGCTACCCCACTTTGAACATAATGTGAAATGAGAGTTCCAAAATCGCTGTACACATTTATTCTGAAATATGTTTGCTCTATAGCTTATTTGGAAGTCCGAGGATAAACCTCGAGCCCAATAGCAGCGATTTTTTTTAATGAATGATAATTTTATCCTAAGAATTAAATCATCTAAAAAATAAATCCCCAAATATGTTAGATATGTTAATACCAACTAATGTATCCACGGGAAAGGGGAGGAAGGAAAGATATATTTTCGACTGAAACTACCAAATAGAAAGTTTGTCATTTATATTTCATTAATCCATATTTGTTTCTTTGAGTGATCTCAGTTTAATACTTAAATTATTAAAGTATACATTTCAAAAAAGATATATAAAAACTGTATCCTTAATAAAAGTTTTGGCAGTCAACAAACAGTATTATTTTATTTTATTTTTTGACAGGTTCTCAGTAATTATTTAAACATTATTTTGTATATTAGAGATTTTGTGTATATAGTTGAATAATGAAAAAATTGTCAGAATGTGCAGTCAAAAATTTCTTTAATGAGTTAGCCGATGTTTCGATCCAAAAATGTGGGTCATCATCGGGATTCAAAAATAGAAAAAAATTAAACAATATTAGAAAAAGGATAATTATTAAAGTATAAAAAAATAAATAAAAAAAACCTGTCTCAGTACAATCCATGAAGGGTCTTGGGTTCGGTACTATGTGAGAAAGAACAGTTTGTTACTAGGCCAACGATTATGCAGGGAGGTGATTGGGCCGAGATCACGCTCAACCGCCAGGTTTTCCCCCTTAATTAATTATTTAATTAAGATTTTCCACTTTACCCACTCCTTACCCAAAGGTCGATCTGCGGCTGATACAATAATTATTAATCCGGATTCGAACCTGGGACACTGAGCTCTGGAAGTCAGTGCTCACCCACTGAGCTACTCTGCTCTCTAAAATAGATTTAAAAAAACTATACCACTACAACCCATGAAGAGTCTTGGGTTCAGTACTATTTAGGAGAAACACTTTTTCTTGGTCTATGGCTGTGTAAAGAGGTGATTTGACCGAGATCACGCTCAACTGCCAGGTTTTCCTACTTAATCAATTATTTTAATTAAGGGTACCCGCTTTATAGAGGCTGGGTTTGCTCCAGGAGGGCCTACCTACCCAGGATCGCCCCACGGCCAACGAAACAGAATAAATGATTTTTCTCATTGGAAGCTCAATATCCTACCACCACTGTTCCCAAAAATAGATAAAAGAATAACAAAATAAAAATAATTAAAAGTATAATAATATTATTACTCTTATACTTTTATATTTATTATTGTTCTGATGTTAATTTATATTTTTTATTTTTCAGCCCTAATGGTCCACATGTTTGGGTCGAAACATCGACTAACTCATTAAAGACATTTTTAACTGAACATCCTAACAATTTTTTAATTCTTATTGTATAGAATTAATTTATTTTTCTTCCAGAGCAATTACCCTTATCTTCCATAAAATAAATACTGAATCCGCTACTTGCTAATTTTATATTAATTATAATTTTTTATTTACTTCGTATTAATCTTGAGATTTTTTTAAAATTACATCTCTTAGTTTTTTTATAATAAATTACATTATCAATTCAATATATTAAACTTCAATCTGTTTATGACAGATATATATGCCAGCAACCTGTTTTCCTGTTTGCGCGCCAAAGGTAGCAGCTGTTGGGCGACACTAGCGCTGCCGGGCCGAGACCCCAGTGCTGGCCCAGCAACTCCTCAGTCCATGTGTTGTCGGTGATGACTGTGTAGCTACCTCTACCAGTACGTATTCTCTCTCTCAGTACCTCAGTCTTCATTCCTCAGTCCAATACTTCGTATCACTACAATCTAAGGTAAGTCTCTCCATTACTCTTCCAACATTATCAGTACACATAACGGTTATATTTACTTTTGGACTGATACCAAACAGTTTGCGTGGGTCGATGTTTTTATAATTCCTCTCTCGACTCTGGGCTATATCGGAACTGTTCATTGAGCCAGGTGCCAAGGCTTTCATTATTTTTTACTCATCATAGGTGATTTTATATTTTGGGATTTTTTTTTTTCACATTCATAAAATAAATTTATATTTTCATATACTATCATAGATATTTAAAAAAAATTAATTAAAAAATGTATATTTTTTTGTCAAATATTGCTGAACATTTTCATTTATAAGTTCATTTTCATATTTCGACACTGATCAATGACCCTGTTTAGGCAATAGTGACGAAACGTCCCCATTCTTTCATTAAAACTATTAATTACAATACAATTCCATCATATTAATTAAATGTAATATTAATCGCTCTATATATTCCAATATTTTAAAAAAATAAAAATAAAATCAATACATTTTTTTTTATTTATTTTATTTTTTTGAAAATATAAATCAAAAATAATAATTAGGTTATCATTTCTTCGATATCAGAAAATGATTACATTTTATACTAATTTTAAATTTAAATATCAATATGCCTAAGTAAAGGAAATTTAATTCGATAAATAGTAATTACAGAGAATTTGAAAATATTTTAAAAATACAGATTGTTTTTAACTACATCATACTTTTATAAATGTTAAATATAAGTTATGGATTTTAAGATTTTTTTTTTTTACAATGATTATAATATCACTTACCTTTGGGTTTTTTTTTTTTTAATAATCACAAATAATCACCATAATTTATTTAAGTTTTGATATAAACAAATATATACTTATATATAATATATAATGTTTTTTTTTTAAATGGTCTTGTTAGAAGTCGCTTAAAGAAGACATTTAAAGACACTATACTAGTGTACAATTACTCTAGAAGAGATCTATTTTAAACTTCAGTATGTACCAAAGTCACCTTGGCGTAAAATAATCTGTCCTACTAGCAATTGTGGGCCTTGAGTTAAGCACAGCTGTGAGAACTTCTATCCTGTCAACTTGAGAGGAATTCCTTTGTACTCGTATAATTCTTCCCCTGGTTGTAAGAAAACAGAAATATATTGTTTTCCAAAAAGAAAAAAAAAAAACGCAATAGAGTTATCACATAATATATTGCTAACAATAAATTTTCACGATATGGTATACAAAAATTGTTAAATATCATTAAATGTTATACGAACAAAATTTAACAGTTGTTTGATGATATTTAAACTATTTCACAACACAATCGAGAAAGTTATTTATGCTTAAAGAAGAAAAAATCACGAAAAAAACAAAAACAGCAAATCACTATAAATAGAATGAAAAACATAACATACAAAATACTGAAAAAATAGCACACAAAGCACATAACGTATAAAAAAAAAAATAAATTTATAAATATATAATGCGATAAAGGACATTGCCTCTTAGAAGGAGAATCTTTCTTATCTTTCCATATCTGGGTTAAATAATTTGCAGACAGCTTACACATGTGTAAATATTTGCGTTGTCTGTTATTCGTTTTGACAGATTAATTTATAAATGGTCACCCTGATCTTTATATTAAACGTTTTAAAATAGTAACAGATCTGTCTTGTATATTGTAATATATGTATGATAATGTCAGTCCAATTCTGAAATTAGCAATAAGTGGTTAGTTATCCATTAATTCCGTTAAAAAAACAAAACAACTAAATATATTATCGATATAATGCTTCAAAATTTGATTTTGTAGCTCAGCTTATTATATTTTTAGTATATAAAATTCGAGAGCTTGAATACGTTAATTTAGATGGTACTAGTCGATTTGTTTTATTATTGTTATTGTTTTAGATAAACTACAAAATTACTGGTGATTGGTCAATAAGTATATAAATATTATTATCAGAGATTATAATCAAAGAACTGAGACAAACTTTTACACATATTAAAATCGACTTGAAAGAAAACTGTTTCTCACAGACAAAACTATATGTTGCCTTATTTAGATAAGATTGTAGAGAGAAATAATTCATATTTAATTTTATTTCTAAATAATTTAAATCATCTTTACATAATTAAAAACATAAAATGTACATAAAGTAAAAAAATTGGTATAAAACCCATCAAATTGAATACCTTGTCTGCTATGACGCATAAATTTCGATTGCAATATTAAATCGAGTTGAGCTCGTTAAATTAAAAAAAAATTTAATTCATAAAAGATTTACTTAATTTACCTTTTTGCAATGTACGAATGATATAAAAAAAATCAAGGTCAAGTCGTTGTAAACTAATTTTATTGCTTTTTTATTTTATTTTTTATCTTAATGGAGGTCAATTGTGATGACATGGAATTTCCCAGATAATAAGAATATTATTTTTAAAATCTATTTAATTATTTCTGACTAATATAATCATTAATTAAAAGACTATAATCATTTGTATCGATATAATTAAAATTTTTCCCCTTTCCATTATCTATTATTAACCGGTCATTATATTCCTGATACTATTTGTAAACTACTTCAGTTTGAAAAAATCAATACACGTAATTATGTTGTTAAAATACACTTATTTCTCTCGTTTTCTTATAATTAAGTCATTAGCAACATATAATAAGGTTTTTCAACAATAGATTGCATTTCTATGAGATTTTATGTAAATTTATTATTTTAAAATTAATTCGTTTTCCTTGGAAACGACTCAATCCTTGATGACAATCAACTTTTTGAAGATCCTTTTATATAATCGTGACGATTGTAATACAAACGTAATGCAATCAAGATTCAAACATGACATAGATAACTAATCACTTGAACCTTGTCACAGATAATTTCCTCATAATTTTCTCAATAAATTATTTTCTATTACGGATGAAATTATTCATTGATAAAATACTTATTATTCTTTAAATATAACAAAATAAAATTTTATATTCATGCCACTAGGCAATAAATAGGATAAAATCAGAATTGAAAACAGTTAAATAATTTTTTCTCATGATCTATGCCTTTCAAAGCATACTTATCATTCGTCATTTGCTAAAATCTGTAATTAAATCATCTAATAAGAAAACTATGCGCAATGCAACCTAGGGCTATTGAGAAACGATATGATGTCTAATAAATACTTTTTTTTATTTTTTTAAAGCCCCTTATTTAAGGTTCAAGGTCTTGGCATTCGGCTTTTCCTGCGTGTTTGCATATTAGGAAGGTCCTATCTCATTATTATTTCTTCTAACTTTTTTTTTTTTTTTTTTTTGTATTGAAGTTACAAACTAAAACATAAAGATAAAATTTAATTTTCAAAGAAATTTTGCCAACGTTGAAGAGGTCTTGAAGGTTTAACTTAATGAAATAAGGTATTTGTTATTATTTCAAATCCCTCGTGGAATTTTGATGATTTTATCTTTACATAGTGGTCAATTTAATTATTTTTCTTGATATTACATTTTGAAACTATTGTAGCTTTTTTGTGTCGATTTGTCAATCATTGAAAAAAAATGGTGATAGTATAAAAAAAACATAACATAAAATAGGATGTATTATAGTTTTGCTGACTGAAATCTTGTATGTGCATAGAAAGGTATATGGATAATATAATAGGACTCTATATGATTTCTGTCTCGCGGTTTTGTTTTTATTTTTTCATAAAGCCTCTCAAAGGTAACGCTTAGATAAAGAATTTGTTTGGAAGGTTTTTTATTCGTGTTTTTTTATTTTGAATCGTAATTTCTTCTTTCCTTTCTGGTGTGATTAAATCAATCCCCTTCGTTTTATCCGGGTGAACCCCAATGTTCCTATATTCACATTAAAAAATATATTGATTAATGCATGTCATCTAAAGAACAAATTTTGTGAGTGTCACTGATGTTAATGCTCACTCTATAGACGATTTTTGGCTTTGAGGCAATACTGCTTCAAGATTCTCCCTACTGATTTTTTTTTTTTTGTAAATACCACTTTAGTGCAGAACGTACGTGGGAAACCTATTCATCATTAGTGTAAGGTTAGGCTGTGCTTTTGGTGACTATAATTCTTTATATTTTACCGTTGCTATTTTTATTTATTACTAAATACACACACCCACATACATACATAAATTCATCGTAATTATATTAATTTCCACATTGTTATTACTTAAATAATTGAATCTTAATTAATTCTAGCCCTAGAGTAATAAATATCGTCACATGTGGCCTCGGTTTCCCAAATATAATATAGATAATAGTTATTATATCAAAAACATTGGATTAGTTATTTTTACAATCTCATTGCTTAGTACATCAGTTTATTAATTAGTTAACCAATTTTAACCAAACTTTGTACGCTGAGTGGTTTGATGATAATTTGCTTGAGAATATTTTGAATTAAGTCTGTTTCAAAAGCTGAATAAGTTTTTGTGGCCAAATTCTACATCTCTAGAAAATCTCTGAGTGTGTGGAGTAAGTTTACAAACAAACGCTGATCTGTTGCCAAGCAACGCCGTATATACGTTTTCTTATTAGTTCCATTATACATTTTCAGCAAATCGCAAATAATTAATATTACCCAATCAAACAACAAATAAATAAATAATTTACGAAATGTCTTTTAAGTCAAACATTTTGTTATATACTAACAAGAAATAGAATTCTGACAAATCTGCAATGAACAAATTTTTGTAGTAAGCTTCACAGCATCCTATCGTAGGGTACGAATCATCTTAGCAGATCTCACCGTGGTAGTCTGTGGTAGTTCCTTGTGTCACTTTGCAAGACCAAGACCGTCTAACTGTTGCAAGACCAAGACCAAAACTCGTAGAAAAATCGATTGTTTCAATAAAAATAGTTACTAATACTTGACAATTTTAGTTACAATATGTAAAGAATTGGTATAACCAATATACTTTTGCATTTAAGTCTTCTAATTTTTCATTCGTGCTTAGTTAGACTTCTTCTGTCTAAATAATTTCA